AGTCAAATGGAATCTGGGAATTGCAGAGAACAGAGGATGTTAATGAAAATAAACGAAAATAAAAATAGGAACATGAGAACTAGATCAATAGATATTAAACAAGAGCATCTCCAATGCACTAGGCATATAATACTTGTTAGTTAAAATGCCTAGTGTGATTCACTTTTTTCAATTCCAATGCACTAGGCATATGATTAGGCATTTTGCCTCAACTCATATTCACTAGCTACATGTAGGCAAAATGTATTCAATCATTAGGATCATTTCCCTCAATCTTTGTTGTTGACGTGGCATTCTATAAAATTAATAGTATTTGGATAAATAGTTAAAATAAAGAGCATGGTTGGAGTAAAAACATAAAACAGTCGATAGGCAAAATAAAATATATACTTTATAGTAATATTTAGATAGGTAAAATGCCTACTACCGTTGGAGATGCTCCCTATTTTTTAATTCTTAGGAAATTTAAAAATATGATACTACTGTTTAGTTGAAATGTCCCTTTAGGTTTCTGGTAGGACAAGTTCCCACTGTGGAATAATAAGATTTAAAAGCAGAATTATTCAATATATAATTTTATTATATTCATTTTTATACTTATCTTCTATTTTATTCTTCTATTTTATTTAAAATTAAATGTGATGAAGGCCCCGTTTGGTAGAGCTGTGGGAAAGTGATTATACCTTATACCTTAACAGCTTATAACTTATAACTGTGAACATAAGTTGATTTTTGACTTATAAATTAAGCTTCTCCTCCCCCACTCAAAGCATAAGTTGATTTTTGACTTACAAAAAGCTATAAGCTGTATTGTCCAGCTGAACCAAACACATTAAAATAGCTTAAATTAAGCTAAAAAGTGAAATAAGCTGGAAATAAGCCATATCAAACAGGGCCGAAATCATATAACTAAATTATCAGATCATTTTTTTTATTTTAATTTTTTTATATGAAAACTTAAAAAATTAAACTAACCTGATGGGCAAAATAGACCCTACGATAAACAAAACAACCTAGATAATCCAATCTTATCATACTCAGGGTGTGTTTGTTTTGAAGGATTAGGGTGTGGGATTGAATTATTAGTCCCACCGGACTAATAGTCCATTGTTTGTTTGAAAATTTTTGTTCCGGACTAATAGTCCCCTCGGACTATTAGTCTCACAAATATGAGACTATTCTATCCCATGGGGGAGGGTGGGATAGAAACCATGGGATTGGTATCCCATGGAATTTTTTGTGAAATGTCCATTTTATCCTCTATACTATTACTTAAACAATTAGAAAATGGTAAAATAGTCTTTTGAACATTTATAAATTATTTTTTTAGTGTTGTTAATTTAAAATTATATATTAAATAAAAATTATAAATTATAAATTAAATTTAATTAAAAATTATGGCCTTATAAATTAAATTTTTTTAGTGTTGTTAAAAAATTAAATTTACATATTAAATAAAATTTTTAGTGTTGTTAATTTAAAATTATATATTAAATAAAAAATATAAATTATTAATTTAATTTAATTGAAAATAATAAATTAAAAATTATGGCCTTATAAATTAAATTTTTTTAGTGTTGTTGAAAATTTAATTTATATATTAAATAAAATTATTTTTTTATTGTCGTTAATTTAAAATTATATATTAAATAAAAAATAAAAATTATAAATTTAATTTAATTGAACATTTATATTAAATAAAAATTATAAATTACAAGGGTAAAATAGTCTTTTGAACATTTATCAGTATCTAGTCCGTCTAACCAAACATTGGATTCACTAAAAATAGTCCAATCTAGACATATAATCCCATGACTAAACAAACATAGGCCCCGTTTGTTTAGGGTTATAGGGTGGGGATTAGGATTACTAATTCCTTGGGATTACTAATGGGGTGTTTGTTTTGAGAAATAGGGAGGGGACTATTAATCCCTTGGTATTAGTAGTCCCCTTGGAAGAGGGATTGGTAAGGAGGAGATAGAGATGATATTAAAAAAATAGTGAGGGGATTAGAAATTTTTTTATTTTTTTTATTTTTTATACATTGGGAATTTTTTTTAAAATATTAATGTTTAAGTTTTTATATATTTTTATTTGTTTTATTATTTTATATAAAAATAATTTAACAATTCCTCACTATTAATCCCCTCACTATCAATCCCCTCACTATGAATCCCCTCCATTCTATCTCTGAAAACAAACGGGGCCATAAGATACAAATCCAGTCCAACCAAATAGTCTAGGGACAATGTATCCCAAAACTAATAGTATGATGAATTACAATTCCTTCTTATCCAGTCCGTCCAAACAAACACACCTCGACCATAACTTATGCTCGAAGTATACGTTTTTTTAATGGTGGAATAATCTTAAATTAGTCAAATGGAATCAAGGAATTGAATTTATGGGGATGTAGATAAAAAGAACAAAAGCAACAATTCAATATGAAAACTATATCAACACGTATTAAACAAGGAAAATGAAAACCATATCAACACATATTAAACAAGGAAAATGAGTCAATGGCCCTTATCTTTGTGACCGGTGATTCATATTATCCTATTTATATCTGAGTCTTATTATTTATGTATTTATTTAAGATTTTTTCAATCTCATTTTGATAATAAAAATTATATTAATTATACATTATATTTGATCTTAATTATGATTATAATTTATTATCATTATTTGCCAACCGAACCGTCGATTTTTGATAAGAAAAATGGCAAATTTTAGTGACACTTTTATCAATCCGCCACCCGCCATACGGTTTCTATTTTTCTCTTAAACCACACCGACCTGCACCGCGCACACTCCTACTCTGAAGTATATTTTTCTGGAGTATTCCTAAAGTAGATAAAAGGATGTGGTTTTATTTTAGAGATTTTTTTTTAAGGTCATTGGTATTAAGATTTTATAACATAAAGAATATTTAATGCAACAATGATAGAGACCACTAATTTTGGAGCTCTAAAAAGACCACTAATGACATGGCACTCAATAAAAAAAGAAAAAAAAATACAACACCAAGGCCAAAACATCAAATCATTCCTGCTAAAGTAGATAAAAGGATGTGGTTTTATTTTAGAGATTTTTTTTTAAGGTCATTGGTATTAAGATTTTATAACATAAAGAATATTTAATATTAATGTCTAAGGCCCCTCAAATCAAATCAGAGAAAATTCAATCCAGAGAAATTCGCTAGTCTAAACCAGAGAAAATTCAATCCAAATTAGAGAAATTCTCTGGTCCAAACCAGAAAAAATTCAATTCAATCCAAACTAGAGATAGTCTCTTTGATTTGCTTAATTTTCTCTAATTTGTTTACCATTTTCTCTGCCTTCAACAACAACAACAACCATCTAGCTTTGAATTTCTCTGGTCTAAACCAAAGAAATTATCTCTGATTTACTTATAATTTTCTCTGATTTGTTTACCATTTTTGCTGCCTTCAACAACAACAGCCATTTGAATAAATCAACCTCAACTTTTGATTAAACAACATATTTAAGAACATACACCTTGCAATAAAATGTCAAAATCATGCAAGTTTACAATACTCCCAAGAGTCGTTTCATTGTACTGACATAAAACTTGTTTTAACATTTGGTTTTGAAACAATTGATGCAATCGCTTCACAAAATCGATTTTAGCCGGAGGCGAAGACCTAATAGCAAGCGCGAAGAACGTTGATCTGGAGGCTGAATTGAGGAAGTTCTTGAGCTCTCGATCGAAAGACGAAGCCAAGTTTTTGAAGGAATTGGCTTTGTCTTTCATCACTGGAGATTGGCGTCCGCAAAGTCTTTGACTTTTTTCCAACCTCACCATATGAACAAGAACGCCTTCTCCGAAGTCAGCAGTGGCACCAATGACGACGACGCTCAAGCCTCCGGTGGTTTCAGATTGATCATCGAAGATTCTGAATTCAAAATTAAGGTTTCAAAATTGGAGTTTTCTATGTGTAGAGATAGATAGATAGATAGATAGATAGAGATTGGTGGAGAGAGAGAGAGAGCACTTTGAAACCTCTTAACTATGTTTGTCCTATCGCCACCACGAGATCCAAATCGTGAGTAGGCTAGTGGTTGGTTTGGACAGATGAAGAGGAGAGAGAGAGAGAGAGAGAGAGAGAGAGAGAGAGAGAGAGAGAGAGGACTAGTTCTGGGTTTATGTGTTGAGTTTGGTAGGTTTCGAACCCATAGAGAGATTTGATGTGAAAGAATCAAATTTCTTTGTGATATATGAGTGTGAGATTGAAGGATCTTAGACATCATAAAATAATATTGTGGATCTCTTCCATTACTAAAAATGGAAGAAAGACCTTAGACTAATTTTCTATTTTATTTTAGTAAAAGTACATGTTTTGTGTTAGTAAAAATAGAAAAATGTACCACCCTTATGGACTCATAATTTATTCGGAATGTGTTTATGTGGTTAAAATTAAATTGATAAAATGTGAGTTTATGAGTAAAATGAATTGTATTCATTGATTTTATTTTATTTTATATTTTTTTTATGGATATGTTTTGAGTTGATAAGGATGAGTTTATAGTGGGGATGGTCACAGGTTGAGTTTAAGACTAATTTATAAAAATTCATTTCGGCTCATATCATATCGGGAAGGGACAAATTGAAAGGTGACGAAAGTGGAATAGGTGCAGGGTAAGAGGCGATTAATTTTATAAATTGAAAAGTAAAAATATTGATAAAAATTATAGATAATATAACATATTATGAATAATAATTTATACTTAATAGAATTATATTATATAAGATAAAAAATAAATCAATAAAAATTAATATTAAATATAATATTGTAATTTTATTATAATAAAAAATAAATATATTATATCTTATATACATATAAATAATTTAATAAACATAATCAAAGTGAAATTCGCATAGTGAGATTCGGGTGGAACACAAGGCCAGAGAAGTAAAATTCATTCCCATCCCCACTTCTTAATCGGGCAGGAAAAATTCATGAGGGGCTTAAGGGGATGTGGGTGGGGGAGTGCAGCGGGAGAAAATTCCATCCTAGTTTGTGACGTGGATAATGTTATATGTATTAATTAATATATTAAGTTAAAATATAATATAATTTAAAATATTTTTAATATTTATAACTAATATTAATGCATTAGTTATTGTTGGTAAAAATAATAATACTACAAAAAAAAAAACGAAAAAAAAAATCAAAAATCACAACTCTCACCGGAGACTCTCCGACGACCTTCTCTCTCCCTTCCACACCAAAACCCTAATCTACGGCGGCGTCGACTCCCATTGTGTCGTCTCTCTCAAAACCTAGCTCGTAATATCCGTCGATCCCTCCGCGTGGCCTAGACTTGGCGGCTTTAATCGATCGATTCGTCGCGTGTACTGAAGAGAGTGAAACAAGAGACAAAGGAAGGTTGGTGTATTTGGGTGGGTTTAGGAATGAGGACTCTCTTTGATAGGAATGGATTGAAATTGAAGCTCGATGGAACACACTACGACTTTTTGAATGAGTATGGCTTTTAGATATTCGTATTCGGAGGTTTCGAAGTTCGTAAAGCCCCATTCTTGTGATTTTGATTTCAAATTGTCTGTTTGATGGATAATTGAGTGCAAATTCCAAGTCTCTCTTAACAAATGTTGAATCATTGTGAGTTCTATTATGTATGCCCCAATAAATTGATGTAATTCAAATCAAAGGCAATTATTGATTATTGATTATTGATTATTTGATGTGTTGTGTTACAATCTTTATATTATAACTGGCACTAGCAATGAAAATAGATCATGGGTTCTGGTTTTGCAATATGTTTTTCTCAGTTATTGGAGCAAAGTAGTACTATGCTGTTTGATGTTCAATAGAGTGATGTCTAATGTTCAGTTATACAGTTATTCAGCAATTATTTAGTACGTGTACAGATCATAAATGATTTGAGAGGTGAGAGAGCTCCAGTGGTCATCCTTGCTTGCTTCGTCGCTGGTTTGTCGAGGTAAGAGAGCCCCGGCAGCGTTCATCTTTGCCGAAGTGATAGCGTATGGTTTCATTGCTGGTTTGCTGAGGTGATATCACTCCAATGGTCTTTTCTTGGTTTCTTTATCGGTTGCATTTTTCCTGTTATTGTTCCTTATTTTTAATTCACTAACCCAAGCAAAACGACTACTTCAGGAATACTCCAGGGGAATATACTTTAGAGGATCTGAATGCAAAAAATATTCCCATCTTTGTAAGCAATGTTCCACCCTTACAATGGGATATTGCTGTAGCTCTTCTCTTTTTTGAAGAGGCAAGTGCTTTTAACAATGGAGGCCCAGTGTATATGCATTTCGTGTGTGAGTGGATCAGAAAATGGGATAGTAGGACAAATTAGCCGACCGGCTGACCGGCCAAAAAAGTTGGCTGGCCGGAGTCTAAAAAATGGTTGTAGAAGTTGGGGGTAGTAGGTGGAAGTTAGGGGTGATGGGGGAAGGTTGATTGTGGTGGTGGCTTATTGTGGTGATTAGGCTGCCGGAGGGAGTAGGTGAGTTGAATATGATTTAGGTAAATCTCAACTTATAGCAAATTTTGATTGGTCATTACCTAACATGATTTATTATCATTTAGTTTTATTTTTTTTTAAAGTTTAGTTTACGCTTTTTATGTTTTTTTTTCTAAAATACTCCTGATTCCGTCACTAATTTGGAATACTCTCAGACTTGACATAATAAAGGTACGCATACTTGTATAATTAATCTTAAAAACTATTTAGTCTAATGCTCTGTTGAAAAAAAGAAAAGAAAAGAAAAGAAAAGAAAAAGGATAGATTATTGGCTAACAACCACAATCCATTTAGGATATAATAGGAGAGATCTTTAATAAAGCAGGACAAAACCTAAACAAACTTTGGACCATAATTAATGGCATTGGTTGAGACCATGACAAATCTGGCATAACTTGTTTAACCTTGACAAATTTGGCATATTTTTAATGAAATGCTAGAAATTTTTAAAACATGATCTTTAAATTCATGTTAATGATATGTTAGGGGTTAGGGGTTAGGTCTTAGGTAATTGATTTAAAAAAAAAATTAAGAATTAAGGATTGTGATCTTGAAATAGTTTACATCATTGTGGATAAAATTAGGAGTAATTTATATATAATAATAATAATAATAATAATAACAATATAGAGAATTAATCACATAATCGATTAATAGAGTATAACTGGGTCCTATATATGAGATGGTGAGGCTTGCCATTGAAATTGTTGCTCTATCACATTGCCCTACCTAATTTGTTTGAAAAAGTCTTTATCATTTCAAAAAACTAACAGTCGAGGCGAGGCGAGGCGAGGCGCAGCCGGCGCGACTTGAGGAGGCCCAGGCAAGGCGAGGTATAACAGTCGCGTGCCTTGGGTGCGCCTGGAAGAGGCGCAGAGAGGCGCAAGTCGCGCGCCTAGTCGGGCTTCTTCGGTTTGTGGTTAATTCATATATGACGGGTGAAAATTGTGAAGCTCTTGCCTCCAACACATACGATTACTACTCAGATGCAATACAATACATTTGAAAAGAGAGGAGGACTCAAATCGAACCTGATCGAAGCCCTAATCTGTGTTCTCCTTCGACGAAGCTCCTTCGACTCTTTCCGACTGGGCTCGTCTCTCTCTCTCGAACCAGGTACTCCTCCTCCTCTTCTTCTTCTTCTTCGCGAACCTCTGTCGAACCTCCTTCGACTCCTTCTTCTTCGAACGTCGATCGTTTTTTTTTTTCTTCTTCTGCTTCGCTCGTTGGGCTCCTCTTCTTCTTCCGACTGGGCTCTTCTCTGTTGAATCGAAGCTCTGTTTTGTTTTTTTTTTTTTCCTGCTAGTTAGCTCTGTTCTATTTTTTGTTTTTATTTTTTTCCTTTGTTTTGACTCTATCTCTGTTAAAAAAATAAATAAATAAATGACATACATGAATTAAATTAAATTAATTAATTAATTCATACATAAATAGATTATACTGAAATAAATAAATTAGATACATTACATAAATTAATTAATTAATTAATTCATACATACATTACATTCATTATGATTATACTGAAATTGATTCATCATTATACGGAAATTGTTATTTAATTTAAACATTATACTGAAATTGTTATAATCATAATAATTAATTTATGAATTAATTATTTTTATTTTTTGAATTAATTATATAATCATATAATCATAATAATTTTTATTTATGAATTAATTATTTTTTTATTTATGTATGTATGAATTAATTAATTAATTAATTTATGTAATGTATCTAATTTATTTATTTCAGTATAATCTATTTATGTATGAATTAATTAATTAATTTAATTTAATTCATGTATGTCATTTTTTTTTTTTTTTTTTTAAAAGAGAATGAGTCAAAACAAAGGAAAAAAAAAAAAAAAATATATTTTTTTTTTTTTAATAACAACTCTTCTCTCATCTGAATCAGGAAAGTATCTTTTAAAACACTTGATTCTCATCTCAGAAATTTCAACATCTTTGTGAGGAGGAACACGAATGGGATTTTCATGAAGCCACATCCCACTATAATACCTAGATTTCATAATTAGAAAAAAATAATAAGTAAATTATGCAATGAAAAAAATTAAAGTATAAACTATGAGTCTAATGTGAATTATACCTTGGATTCAAAGAATGAGCAAGGCAATGAAGAGGTGTGCTACTTTTTGTCCACCTTTCCACTAATATTTGATGCACTATAGAGTAAAAGGATGACTCTTCATTTTCTGACTTCCCTTCACGTCTATAGATGGATGCCTTCACCCGTTCAATCATTGAATCCCACATCTCATAAACCAAATGTAGACATGGCTTATCTGTGTCACAAAATCTGAGCATCTCATAAATTGGCAATGTGAATGAGAGTATATATTCAATCTTATCCCACCAAACATCATTCAACAACTTTTCCTTTACAACACTTGCTTTCCCAACATCATCTTCCTTGTAAGAAGCCCATTTGTCACTTATCACCATTGTTTGGAGACCATGATATATAAGTTTAAACCTTTTTAACATAACAATTGCAGATGCAAAGCGTGTATCTGCAACAGAAAGTAGCTTCAAAGGTACAAACTCATTAAAAATAGCTAATCTCATAGAATGATTCATGATGAAATTTTTCACAAACATTACATCATCAATCACAGTAGTGATCCAATGGCACTCATCATAAGCATATGCAGCAACTCCAATTTCCTTCGCAGCACAAATGTTCTTAAGAGCAAGATTAAGAGTGTGCACTACACAAGGTGTCCAAAAGATCTTCGGATAATTACCTTGAATAATTGATCCAGCTGCACTACAAACTGGAGCATTATAATGAAGAAGAAGACATCAAAAGATCACAATTCCCAGATGGTTTCTTCTTTGGAACATCCACTTCATACCAAGTATGTCTCTTCTTCTTCTTGCCTTCTAAATTGTGTCCTCTCTCTCTTCCTTAGACTTTTTCCATATTGTTGTCACAGATTGAAGGAGCAATTCTTGAAGATGGTAAGAGTCTCAGCAACTGGGATGTTTTCACTCGCATTCAAGGTAATTGAAGAAGGTCTCGTCTAAAATGCAGCTAAAGCTAACAGTAATATGATTGGTTTTTGACTAGCTGTTTGTTGAATTCATTTAGGTGGCCAAAGAAATGGAGCAAATGGAGATGTAGCCAATGATCATTATCGCCGCTACTTGGTATTAGACTTGCATTTCTTTTATAATTAGTCTGTACATTTAAATTGCATAACAAAGATATGAAAAGAGATCGTCAAATTAATTTTATCTTATTCTGATTATTACAGGAGGACATTGAGTTAGTGCAGTCATTGGGGGTCAATGCTTACAGATTCTCAATCTCATGGGCCAGAGTTCTACCTAGTATATTTTCCAATAATCTGTTATTATTTGTTACTCATAATTTGATTGGTTCATATAACTTGATTAATTTATCAACAAAAAAAAAATATATAACTTGATTAATGACCTTCTTGAGCTTTATTAGGAGGTAGATTTGGAGAAGTCAATCCAACTGGTATCATGTTCTATAACAAAATCATTGACAATCTTTTGCTCAAAGGTACTGTGTGAGCAAAATTTCAATCTACTCACAGAATTCCTCATGTTGTAAACAAGAATATATTTTAACAGAATAGAGGCAAAATATTAATGCAGGAATTGAGCCATTTGTGACGATAAATCATAATGACTTCCCTCAAGAACTCGAGGACAGATATGGGTCTTGGCTCAGTCCTCTTATGCAGTATGCCCAATTCTTTCTCTCTCTCTCTCTCGTTCAACAATTCTAGGTACACAGAATTAAATCACTGAAAAATACCCAGAATGCTTCCTGTGGTTTAATTTGTGTATTATTTTTGTCAATCAAGTTGGTCCCTACCTAGTATTTAATATAATTTTTCTTGTAAATTCTGTCATTAAATCTTTGTCCATATATATATATGTTTGTGTTTTTGTAGGGAAGATTTTGTGCATTTTGCTGAAACTTGTTTCAAGAACTTTGGGGATCGAGTGAAGTACTGGATCACAATCAACGAGCCGAACTTATTTGTAGAAAGCGCCTACTTGCAGGGATCATTTCCACCGGCTCATTGTTCTGAACCTCATAGCAACTGTTCAGCTGGAAATCCTAACATGGAGCATCTTATTGCAATGCACAACATGTTGCTGTCACATGCCAAGGCTGCCAAGCTCTACCATGAGCATTTTCAGGTAATTAAAGCGAAAGCACTCTTAATTATAGTTGCATGTTGTATTTGATAATTTGATTAATGAAATCGATGTTGGTGCAGCCAAAACATGGTGGATTCATAGGAATCGTGGCGTGTGCATTCATGTACGAGCCACTGACAGACAATGAATTTGATAAAGAAGCTGCAAGTAGGGCATTGGCTTTCGATTTGGCCTGGTAAGATTTAGCTAAGATATTCAAAATTAAGATGAGTAGTAGATAGTGAAAGTATTGGTCACCCAAATATGTCAATTCAAGTAACTCCTTAGAAACTTAAATAAAAATTCATTTTATGCATTAATAATAAAACTATACGAGTGTTTGTTGGATAGTTTATTCATATACATACTGTGCCCCACAATTAAAGCCCTTCTTTGTCACATTTTTGTTTATTTATTTATTTATATTTTTTTGGGGGTGTTGTATTATTGTTGACCAAATACACTACTGTACATGCTTATGAAGTAAACAAAGTAGCTGTCCTGCCTTGAGCTTTGAAATTTTGTAGGAAGCTTTGATCTTAAGGTTTCCCAGAATCTCTTCGAAAACTCCCACTCCATCTACTAAGGAGAAATTTAATGAAAACATAGAAAAAAATAATGGTGTCATTTTGGATCGGTAAATTTACCATTTTGGCACGGAAAGTGTATTATGTTTCGCGTCGTGCGTTCCAAATCATAATAATCTTTTAGAGAAAATAATTTTGTGAGAAGAGAAACTTCAAAAATGCTATATATCACTCAATTTTATAATTGTTTTATATCTCCGCCTAACATGATATTTTCTATTGGTTTGAGTTTAAAAGAAATTTTATTAAGGAAAAAAAAAAAAAGAGGACATTCACACCTTGCTTCAAAATAATATGGTGATAAAAATTGGTTTATTTATGACTCTCCTCTAGAAACTTATATTAGAATTTAGTCATGATTAAAAGTTGGAAAATTGTGCTTCAATGCATAAATATACTTATTTTTGTCAAAATTATTATCTAGCTACCATTTGAAATCCAGTGTCTGGCTCTTTTCATTATTAAATTTATTTGGTAAAAAATAGTTAAAAAACCACTGTCCTAAGTTTGTTTTTAAAATCATTAGTATTAAAAAACTTTTTTGTTAGAAAATTGAACTAGAAGCTGCTAATCATACAATTAAAGTGATTAATCTCTTGTGAAACAGGATATTTGATCCCCTAGTATTTGGAGATTATCCTCCAGAAATGCGGTGTTACCAAGGAAACGAATTACCCAGATTCTCTGCAGAGGAAAGGATGTTTATAAAAGGCAGTATTGACTTCATCGGCATTAACCATTACTCAACTTTTTATGCCAAGGACTGCATTCATTCTAGTTGCAGACTTGAAGGGAATGATCATATCATGGGGTATTCCTATATTACTGGGAAACGCAATGGTGTTCCAATTGGAGAACCGGTATGAAAATTTGTAATACCAAGTTAGTCTCGATTTATGTATTAAAAGTATATAGAAATACATTATATATATATATATATATGAAAGTGTAAGAGAATATGTGACATTTTTCTTGTTTTTCACAGACTGGGATGGATGGTTTGTACATAGTTCCAAGAGGCATGGAGAAGATCATCGATTATCTTAAGAAAAGATACCATAACAAGCCTATATTTGTGCTTGAAAATGGTGAGTACTTGGCATCATACTAGAAAGCACCTATTTATTTTGTCCTGTGTTTTGAAAACTAGTTTGTTTTTCATTTGGGTAACTCAGGGTATGCTCAACGACGACAAGGTATTGCAATGCAAAACTTGCTATGTGATGTGAAGCGAATTGAATTTCACCAAGCATACCTTTCTTCCTTGGCCACAGCAATCAGGTAATTTTATTCTCATCACTTTGTTTTTAACCGGACACAAATCCTTATTACGAATTCAGAATTAGTCTGCTTCATGTATATATATATATTGTCTTCTGCCCATTGAAAAAATGGGCTTCTTGATAGAAGCTTTTGAACAAAAATTTGCATTTTTCTTCTTTTAACAATACAGTTATAACATGCCCACTTGTATACTGTCCCAGCCTAATTCCTTGTTGGGGCAGGGATAGGGTGGGGAAAAATCACCGAAGTGTCCGGGTAAGGAGGTGCCAAGATAATTTTTACACTCTTAGGAGCGGTACTAACGACATGAGATAATTTAACACATGAGAGAACGATTCATGAGTGATAAGGGACAACTATTGACGTTTTAACATGTGTATGTTTTTTGTTTGGGGATATAGGAATGGAGCCGATGTACTTGGATATTTCATATGGACATTGATGGATGACTTCGAATGGCTAAATGGTTATAGCATCGCATTTGGACTTTACTATGTCGATCGACCAACCCTAAGACGGATACCAAAGCTATCTGCTAAATGGTATACGGATTTTCTAACAAACAGTACTATTACTGGGCCTATTAGCCTCCAAGATAGGGTTGCGATGGTGAGTAGAACGAGTTCATTGAGACAAAAAATATTCTCCTCACAGGATTAAATACCATACTGGCACTAATGTAATTAGATTCCAACATTGTATATTGTTTGTTTGTGAAGATGTATACTAAGGCCAAGTTTGGGAAGACTAAATAAGTGCACTTTTTTTCTTTTTAGACTAAAAAGTTGAGGTTGAAAATATGAATGTTTGAGTTAATTTTTTGACTTTTTATGGAAAAATGTGTAATAAAAAATTGTAAAAATTAGTTTGTAGGGGAAAATTAGAATTGGGAATTGTGCAGCCGTAATTGTTGACTTTTGGTGAATAGTGATAACTTTTTAACTTTTTAAGTAACTTTTTGACTTTTTGACTTTTTTTAAAACTCCCAATACTAATTTTTCTCTACACATTAATTTATATAATTTTTTAATGCACATTTTTTCATAAAAAATTAAAAAGTTAACCAAAACATTTATATTTTTAACCTCAACTTTTTAGTCTAAAAAGACAAAAAGTTCACTTATTTAGGACATTTAAAACAATCCCTAAATTATTTTGTAGTTTCCTTCAAATTTCAAATTTATTTTTTTATTTTTTATGTTTATTGTTTACTTCTTTGTACACTCATAAATCTTAATAATAATAAAGATTAATAGCATATATGATGGTGAGTTACTGTAGCATACACAAGTTGGTTTGACTACCTGTTTGGTTAGTCTGGTGCAACTATACAATTTTGCTAGTTTAACGTCGATTCCCTGAACTATCTAACCAAAATAAATAAAAGGT